GGCACAGCACTTCTCTCAGGGTTCTAGGATGAAGTAACTTGTACATGGTCAGGACACTAGGGAACTTGTACAGAATTCTGAGTTTTCTAGATCTAAAGCCTCTATTCTTTCCCATACACAGCCTGTTTACTCACATTTTGCAGCTATTTAATATTAGCAAGAGATCTAAGAATCCTACTGACCCATCAAAAACTGTGTAAAGCCTAGGATTTTACTCTACTTAAAAGCTAATAAGTTAGCCTAATACCATTGGTTTCATAGATGCTGGCAGAAGACAAAAGACCATTGGGTCAGAGACAAAGGACTTTATTACTCATGCATTAGCCTTCACGTCCTGTGAGGGTGATATACCATGGATGCTATGCATATAGCAAGGGAAGCGAGCTTCCTCTTTAAGGGGAGAATTACCTTATCCCTCCAGGTTGCTTGCTGTAAGCACAACCCTGACAAATGAGAAGTGGTCCATGTAAAGTGCAATCAGGGACTTTCTTGGCATAATCAGTAAGAATATGCAGGGACACAGAGCCTATGGCAGACTGCTTCTATAAACATGACCTGAAGGTCAATAAACTAACAGCTACTCAAATGGCAGAGCACAGGAAAATGTCCCATATTTCAGTATTTAAATCTCCATAATCTGCATATTTCTTTTTAAACTGGCTTATGTGATTAGTTATTATTTAATGCTTTAAAGTTGTGGTCAATTTTGAAATATGGGATCAGTATTTCTGGGTATGTTTCAGACTAATGAAAACTTTCAGGATGAAGTGAAAACAATGTAACATAAATGTGAAAATAATTTCATTTCTGATTGACTTTAATTTATATTACTATCTATAATTACTGCCATCCTGAGTGGGGTAGGTGATACACAATGGAGTACAGTTCTTTCCCTCAAATAGTGTACAAATAGCATGACGGCATGGGATAATCAGTTATGAACTAAGACAGATACTGAAATAAGACACTGAAATAACTGAGTCCAAATAAATAGGGCATTAGGAGTTCACAGTAAATAGATCATTGTGGAAGGAAATAGTCAGAGTAACTGTCATAGGGATGGAACTTAAAATTATAACTAACATTACTGAGGAACTATTGTATGGCAGGTTCTAGATTGTTTTATGTGCATTATTTAATCTATACGACGCCACCCTGGAATATAGGTATAATGATTATCCATCCCATCTTATAGAGAAAGAAGCAGGTTAAAAGAGTTGAATTGCCGGCACAGTCTGATACTCAGATTTGCCTGAGACTTCCCACTTTAGGGACTAGAGTCCAGATTGAGCAACTAAGCTTAACCCGGACCTTCATAAAGTACAAATCTCCTCTTACTCAGCAACACAAAGGTGCAATGGCGCACAGAAGGTTCTCAGGACAGACTAATGCCCATGACACTGGAACTTTTGCTCTTTACCTTTGTGTTAATAATTTATTCTGCCACATACCTAAGCTTAAGTGTTTTATTTATAAAATCAAATCTCACACAGAAATTTGATGACTTTTTGACTCCCATGGCAAATCTCAGTTAAGCTCCAATATACTATTTTATATGGTGTTTGAATCACAAGGGGATGCTTCAGTCAGATTCCAGAAATCTGGACTAAGAAACAGAGCTATGTCAACACATCTTATTTATATTAAAATTTTTATCATCAGTTTTTCTACAAATATTTACTGCATGTCTACTTAGTACCAGAAATGGGGGGATAAAAGGTATGCAGAATAAGCACAATTTCTGTCTCAGTGGAGCCTGTGATCCAGAATAACATATCTGAACATTTGTTTCCTAAACTCTAACCAAAGGGACCCAATAAAAACTTGTCTATGTGATGCTACCCAATATATTCTTCTAGCTGATTTTATTACTAAAAGATTGTTGTCTAACACAATAAAAATTTTTTAAGTTGCCTTCTTAACTAATTAATTTATTTGGTTTTCTGGGCACTGTGAACTATTTAATTGAACGAGTTTGCTTTGTGGAAACCTTTGAACCAGATTTGTGGCTTATCCACAGCAGTGTTGGTCAGTCATGTTTTAATTATCAGTCGTGGCTCCATTTTAAGCCCTTATCCTTATTTATTCACTTATGCTATTTTGAATTTTCTGCAAGCTGCCTCATTCCTTTCTGGAAGATGGTAGGATAAACATGAATGAATAAATGAATGAATGAATGAGCAAGCAAATAAACACATATACACATACACTTCTCTAACATTGTATGATCTTATCAAATTGTAAAGATTTGCTTCTCCATCTCCCTTACTGCACTTGACCTCCATGAAGACAGGTAAATTATCTTATTCAGTTTTGTATCCCTAACATCTAGCATAAAACTATGGTGCACTAAGGTTTTAATAAAAATATGACTTTGGCCAGGCACAGTGGCTCATACCTGTAATCCCAGCACTTTGGGAGGCTGAGGCAGGCAGATCACTTGAGGTCAGGAGTTCGAGACCAGCCTGGCCAACATGTCGAAATTGTGTCTCTACTGAAAATACAAAAATTAGCCAGGCGTGCTGGCAGGCACCTGTAATCCCAGCTACTCGGTTGGCTGAGGCAGGAGAACAGCTTGAACCCAGGAGGTAGAGGTTTCAGTGAGCTGAGATCACATCATTGCGCTCCAGCTTGGGTGACAGGACCAAAACTCCATCTCAAAAAATTATGTCTTTAGCACAACAGAGCTTAAATCTCATTATTGTGTCAATATTAACATTTCCTAATACCGTTATAATTTCCATGTCATTACTGACGACATGGTAATGTAAAGGCCTTCTTATCACATAACTCCACTGCTGTGCTACATGCTACAAATTAATGCTTTTGATACTTTTTCTTCTACTCCATTCTACTGTACTAAAAAAAAAAAAAAGCTTATTTGAGTCAACTGGATTGGCTGCATCCTGATATGCTATGACGTGGAACACAAAGCACTATCTAGGAAGTATTGCCTCAAAATGCTAATTGCAATTCAATGCACTGATTTCACACCCATAGTTTGAAACAATGCTTATCCTACACAAGAGATCTTGTCTCTTTCTGAACTGGCTAAATCCCATGAACTTTAGAACAAAAAAAAACCTTATTAAAAAATCCAAAGATGTACAACAAAGAAAAATGCATACTGCAACTCCAATGCAGCCATCATCTAACTCAAACAATGAACAATCTCATTGGCCAATCTCATTTCATCTCTATCCTGCTAAATTTCCGTAACCATTCTTGATTATTGTGATGTAAATCTGACGTAGCAGATCATGTAATATGTAAACATTTTAGCATGTATCACTAAAGTAAGGATTTTTCTATTAAGTCATGAAATAAACCTTTCTTTCATTTTACTTGTATCTAGAAACATTCCTAATATTCTGCTCAGTAACAAGATCCCCTTCCAGGCAAATCCCCTTAAACTGACGAAGAATTTTTTTTTTTCTATTTGTTTTCTTAATACTGTAACCAAAATAAAATACCTGTTTTGTTTTTCTTATAAAATAGAAAATGAATTACAATCTTAAGAACTAAAGAAAGACTATTCAAATTTCTTGAATTAATTTAGACATGGGGATCAGGATAACATCTATTTGGTAACACGGCATCAAACAGAATTCAGGGTACTTTGCTTTGTTCATTCTCAGATGAAAAATGAAGCTTTAAAGCATTTTAGTGTCCACTCAAGAATATCAATATAGCATGTGATATATTCTGATGTGATTCCACAGTCAAATATTACATAAATACGTAGCTGGAAAACAACTCAGACACTCTATACACAGAGCTTGACTATACATATAGAGACTGTATTTACTTTTTAGAAATGTGTATGTAAGAAATATACACAATGCTCTAAGAACTGATAAATCAAAGGTGTCAGACAGATGAAACTACGAATTCTCCTCAGTGAAACCAGGATATTTCATTGATATTCCTAATGTGGCACAAAATTCAGGTTTACACAATGAGGATAAAAGTTAGTCAGTTACATGTAATGTTCTTAGAGTAAAAACGAATATGAACAAAATGATCTTGGTCCAATGCCTTTTGCAGTTTGTCTCAGGTCTGCTCCTAAAATGGGGAGGGTGGACTAGTTTTCAGACTGTGCTCTACAGAGTCTAACAGCCAAGTCTCCAAGACTTCTACCCCAGAAGACAAGGCAGATCTGTTTCTATCTGTTTAAATACCGATTTTCTACTAAAGATTTTCCTTCAAATAAGAACTCGGCTGGGCAAGGTGTTCATGCCTGTAATCTCAGCACTTTGAAAGGCCAAGGCAGGTGGCTCACTTGAGGTCAGGAGTTTGACACCAGCCTGGCCAACATGGCGAAACCCTGTCTCTACTAAAAATATAAAAATTAGCTGGGTGTAGTGGTACATCCCTGTAATCCCAGCTACTCAGGAGGCTGAGGCAGGAGAATAGCTTGAACCAGGGAGGTAGAGGTTGCCGTGAGCCAAGGTAGCGCCACTGCACTCTAACCTAGGAAACAAGGGTGAAACTCCTCAAAAATAAAAATAAAATGCAACAAGAATTCATTAAGAATAATTTGGAAACTACTAGACAAAATTAACTCCTAAGTCTTTTCTAGTTCTAACATTCATAATAAAAATCACCGTTCTTTTTTTTGAGACGGGGTCTCACTCTGTTGACCAGGCTGGAGTGCAATGGTGTGACCTTGGCTCACTGTAGCCTTGACCTCCCCAGGCTCAGGTGATCCTCTCACCTTAGGCTCCTGGCTAATTTTTTGATTTTTTGTAGAGATGGGGTTTTGCCACGTTGCCCAGGCTCGCCCCAAATTCCTAGACTCAAGTGACCCTCCCGCCTTGGCCTCCCAAAGTGTTGGGATTACAGGCGTAAGCCACTGTGCCTGGCTTTGGAATAATTTAAGCTCTTAAATGTTGAATGCCTTAAGAGCATCTAAATATGTACATAAAAGGAAAATGCATATGATAATGTGGGCTTCACTTATTTCCAAGAATACATTCAAATTGAATTAATGCTCTAACCTCGTGAAAATGCCATCCACAATCCCAATTGTTGCTTCTTCTGCAGGAACATAGGAGCCAATCTGAGCCATGATGGTAATCAATGCAACTTGTTTTATGTAGGAGCTCTTTCCACCCATGTTTGGTCCAGTAATTATCATTACTCTCTCTGAGTCCTCCTAAAAATTAAAAAGTAATTTCACTTATTGTACCAGAAAAGTTTTAAGGTAATATCCACAATTTATCCCATAAATGGAAATGCATTAGGCAAAACAATACTTTGCAGTGCAAATATCACAAAAGGAAAGAGGACCTCTTTGTCTTCAACCTGAACTGTGTGATACTGCTGAAAAGTCCATTCTTAGCAGTGCACACAGCTATTCCTGGGCATTAAAAAGGAAAAAAGACCAAAGTGGATAACTGCTATGGCTTTCTCAGTAAGCATTTTATAATCTGCCTATGTGGACATTCTCCCTATTGCTTATGTTAAAGTCTATCAATTTCCATTTGTCCATCTTAAAATGACACGTGTTACATATCGAATTGCCCAAGGCCCTATTTGGGGTTGGCAGCACATGAATTTTTCAGTTACAGGTAGATGACTACTAAAAGATATTTACAACATCAAATTCTAGATATTGGTTTATCAGAATTTAATTATTTACTAGCATTCATCAGAACACGTGAAGGAGGCAGAACTGTAACTCTTGCAACAACTTAATTTTCTAGAACTTCTCTGTATTGATCAATTATAGTATTTTCCGTGTATACATCACTGCTAAGGGAACTTGTCCAATGACAGCCCTTGGCAGACGAGTTAGCCCAGGGCATCTGTGCTCTGTGCTATATGAATCCCACACTTTGGCAATAGCTGCCTGGTCCAGAGTAGCCAAGCCAGCAGGGCACAGTGGCTCACTCCTGTAATCCCAGCACTTTGGGAGGCCAAGGAGTTGGATTGCTTGAGGTCAGGAGTTTGAGACCAGCCTGGACAACATGGCAAAACCTCATCTACACAAAAATTAGCTGGGTGTGATGATGCCAGTTACTTGGGAGGCTGAGGCACGAGAATTGCTAGAATCCAGGAGGCAGAGGTTTCAGTGAGCCAAGATAGCACCACTGCATTCCAGCCTGGGTGACAGAGTGAGATTCCATCTCAAAAAAAAGAAAAAAAAAGCCAGGACCAGCCAATGGGCCTACCATAAAATCTTCTCAAACTAAGCTAATCAAACAATCTTTGGGGAGTTAACTGAGAACCAGTGAGGTTCAATTACTTGGTAACTTGAGAGACTGAAAAGAATCACAGAACAAGGCCACGAGGCACTGGGGATCATGAGGAAGTAGTTATGAGAAAATAAAAGGTATGATGAAAAATTATTTAGATGGGGCAAAAGGGGTAGTTAGTAATGAAAGGAAGAAAAGAAACACAAGAGAGAGCCAAAAGGAAGTGAGAAACTTCTCACAATTAACTGGGTATCAAAGTAAAGCCTTATAAAGTGTTACTAATGGGGGATAAAAAGAAAACCTGTTCCATCCCTAAAGCTGCATCATATTCTAATTATCCACACATTTCCAGTCTCCCTAATGCCTAACTGTGCTAGTGATCTTGCTCTTCCTGTGTGATTCCTTTCTCTTATGGCTCCATATAGCTTTATAATGCACCTCATACATCTCCTTTACTTGAAGGAACTTCAGTGAATCTATGTTTCTTGTGACAGGAAGAGCCTAACACAATAAGAACCTCGAAAGTAGTTTGGTATAAACAGAATAAAAGTAATGATAAAAGTAAAATGAATTCTACAGAGATTAAAAATAAGCCTGTCATAAAACAATGATAACACTAATGATAAAAATAAAATGAATTCTACAGAGATTAAAAAATAAGCTTGTCATAAAACAATCAAATATTTGGCATGATGAAATATTTTATCTCTTTTTAATCTCTTTTTTAATATATGTCTTTATCACCTTTTTTAAAAATCACAAAATGACACAAGAAATAGAAAATCTAACAATCCTATATTTATTAAATTTGTAAGAGCCCTTCCACAAGAAAAAACTCTAAATGCAGTTCCCCACTGAATTCTTGCAAACATTTAAGAAAGAAATAGCACCAATGTTACAATAATTCTTCTAGAGAACAATAAGTTTTTTTCCAAATAATTTCAAATTTGGGTATCAATATTCTTGGTATTAAGAACATTACAAGAAAAAAATACAGACCAATTTCATCTATAAATATACATGCAAAACTTTTTAATAAACTATTAATAAATCAATCCAAGGTTACATAAAACATTTAGAGCTTTTGAGGAATACAACGTTGGTTTAGTATTCAAAGGCCAATCAATAAAATTCACCACATTAACAGAATAAAGAAACCATATAATTATCTTCAATAACACAGAGAAAGTATTTGACAAAATCCAACACTCACTTGTGGAAAAAAATGGGCAGGAAAGGGAAATAAAAATAAAAGGTATAAGGATTAGAAAGCAAATAATAAAACTGTAATTATTCCTATATGTTATGATTGTGCTCCCAGAAAATCCGAGGAAATCTATAAAAATTGGTCTCTGGATACAAGTTCAGTATTCAAAAATCAACATTCCCCCTATATTTTAGCAACAAATGTAGGCTCCTTTATTCAAAATGTTTGGGGACCGAAGTATTTTCAATTTCAATTTTTTTTGGATCCTGAAATATCTGCATCATAAATCAAATTTTTTTTTTTTTTTTTTTTGAGACGGAGTTTCGCTCTTGTTACCCAGGCTGGAGTGCAATGGCGCGATCTCGGCTCACCGCAACCTCCGCCTCCTGGGTTCAGGCAATTCTCCTGCCTCAGCCTTCCGAGTAGCCGGGACTACAGGCACGCGCCACCATGCCCAGCTAATTTTTTGTATTTTTAGTAGAGACGGGGTTTCACCATGTTGACCAGGATGGTCTCGATCTCTTGACCTCGTGATCCACCCGCCTCGGCCTCCCAAAGTGCTGGGATTACAGGCATGAGCCACCGCGCCCGGCCTCATAAATCAAATTTAAAATGCTCTGAAATCCAAAACTTTTTAAGCACCAATATGATGCTCACAGGAAATGCTCATTGGAGCATTTCAGGTTTTGGATTTTCAGATTAGGAATGCTCAACCTGTAATTCAAAATAAAACATTTTTAATGATACAATTTACCACAGTATCAAAAGAAATCAGATACCTAGGAATAAATCTACAAAATGAGAAAGACACTACACAGAAAACTACACAACATTACTGAAAGGAAATTAAAGAAGACCTAATTAAATGAAGGAATATACCATGTTCATGAACTGGATGGCTCAACATTGCAATGCTATAATAATTACAGTAGTGCAGTTTGGCACAATGATATACATATATAACCAGTGGAATGGAAAACACAGAAACAGACTGACATGTATACAGTTCCCTGATTTATGACAAAGGTGACATTGCAGCACAGTTGACAAAAGACAGTCTTTTCAACACAGTATGCTGTCAAGATATGGAGTGTAATTTGGAAATGCCTAGAAAGATTGTGTCTACTGGTCTACGTGACCCAGCAATCGCTGTTAAGTATCTACCCAAAAAACATACAAGTGCTCAAAAAGGCATGTATAAAACTGTTCACTATAGTATTGTTTGTATGCATTCATAATTGACAAAAATAGAGATAATCTAATTGTCTATTGTTAGGAAAATAAATAGATCTACTTGTACAATTATTAAGACAATTGTTTACAATGCAGAGTACTAAGATAGGCTCAGTGAGAGCTTAACGTATATATTTAAATATACACAGAACATGATTATATGCTTAGTTGATATATATATGTCAAATGAAAGAATAAAAACATGCATAAGGATAATAAATAACATCAGGATAATGTTTGCCATGGAGGGTAAGAGTTGAAAAGGGAGACAAAGAAATAGCAGTTAATTATATATGGCCTTAGCTGTATCTGTAATTTTTTACTTACTTAAAATTAAATTCCTAAATATTACAAAATGTCAATCTCTATGACATTTGTGTGATGGGTAAATAGGTATCTGTTACACTGTTTTCTATACTTTTTCATCAGTTGGAATCATTAAAAATCAAATGAATTTTCTTAGTTATTTCATGGATCACCATCACAAACAATTCAATAACTCGTTACAAACACATTTATGTAATTTAGGAATAATTCACATAACTTCCAAATGACATTTTGTTATTTGGACTTCCAGAACATTTTATACAAGCAAAGCAATAGAGAAAAGTAAAAAATGGAAAGTGCAAGAATGTAATGGCAGAGAGAATACCACACAGAAGGGTTATGTGTGTCGTGCCAAGGCTCCTTGAACTGTGACCACATTGTTAAAGGAGCTGTCTCAAATGGGATTACCAAATTCAACAAGCACATGAGAGTGACCAATGGAAATGCAGAAACAGAAATGTTTTTTAAATCAGTAGTTTAGGAAAGCCATGAGAAAAAAAAGAAAAAATAAACACTTCTTATTTTGTAGAAACCTTATTATGCCTTCCAATACCTTGAAAGATGAGTATTTATACTTATTGTTCAATTTGGCTTTTTCATGCAATGAGAATCAGTAATTTGACAGTGTATTTTTTTAAAGTATTAATTTGGTAAACTAAAATAGTTTACTGAATAAGATTTGTAGTGGTAAAGCATATTATAGTGCCATTTAGAGTTAACGGGTTCAGTTTTTGGCTTAGCCATTGGCTAGGCTAGATAATTTCATTTTCTCATCTGTAAGACTGAGTAATAATGGAAATCCTAGTCTTACATGCATTTTGTAAAGTTTAAAACAATTAAAATATATATAAGAAATTCCTTTGAAACTATAAATGCCGTAATCATTTTTATAAATCATAAATTCTTAAAAATAAAAGATGCCCAAAGCAGCCACATGCAGTCCTAATGCCCTGTAAACTAATTAACTGAAACAGAGGAAATGAACTAAAACAAATGAAAATACATTTGGTTTAGGTCTAATGTAAAAGTCAGATGTGAAACTTATTTGAAGACCTTGATAAGTAAAATTCTGTGTATGATATTTACATGAATAGAAATGTTACTCTCTTCTGAATTTAAATTGTATATACATTGGTGAAAAGGATGTATTATCCAAAGTGATTAAGCAAGTCTGACAGTTTCCAATATTTT